TCTCTCTCCCTATCAAACTCCCCTTTAGTCCTAATTGAAGACTTGGGATGCCTATTATGGTATTTCCAGACCCCATTTCACCCTCTTCTAGCCCCATTTCACCCTATTAACACGACCCTGCAGTCCTATATCATCTTATTTCACCCCTATTTCACCTTATTTCAACTTATTTCAAGATAAAACACCAAAATCGAACTTAATTCTCCACGAATAGGAAATTTGGCGCGAAAATCGAAACGTAAACAATAAATTTGGCGCGAAAATCGAAACGTAAACAATAAATTTGGCGCGAAAATACAAACGTAAACAATAAATTTGGCGCGAAAATACAAACGTAAACACAAATAATAATAGAGAAAAAAATTAGGTACTTGGCAACCGTATCTCCAAGGTCCCTCTCGACCTCGTTAAACGGGATTCACAAAGGTGGTTTTAAGTGACTGGTTTAAGTGGTCAGTTTAAGTGTCTGGTTTAAGTGGCACTTATTGTGTACTTATAAAAGTGTCCCCCTGGGGTAGGTTTGGGTATGGTGGGAATGAAGTCGATGTGTATGTGTGTGTATGTGTGTGTGTGTGTGTGTGTGTGTGTGTATGTTGTTGTTGTTATTATTATTATTATTATTATTATTATTATTATTACTGTAGTTGATTTTATTTTGTTTGGAGATATAGACAGATGGACAGACAGACAGACAGACAGACAGATAGACAAACAGACAGACAGACAAACGAACAGACAGACAGACAGATAGACAGACAGACAGACAGACAGACAGATACACATTATATACAAGGAAAGTAATCCTACCTCGTTAGGTGACCACTTGAGAGAGAGAGAGAGAGAGAGAGAGAGAGAGAGAAGAGAGAGAGAGAGAGAGAGAGAGAGAGAAGAGAGAATCACACACAAACACTCCTAAACACCCACACACACACACACACACACACACACACAGACACACACACACACACACACACACACCTTGACGTAAACACGGAGGTAGGGAGTTAACTTAAGGACTTGTCGTGGAATTGTTTGAATGGACGTAAAACAGGTGGTATGTGTGTGTGTGTGTGTGTGTGTGTGTGTGTGTGTGTGGGAAAGTTAGGTGGGTAAGTAGGGAGGGAGAGATTGTATGTATGTATGCATGTATGTATGTATGTATGTATGTATGTATGTATGTATGTATGTATGTTCCTCCTGTTCACCGTATAACAAGTTGTGTTCTCTCTGTGTTCTTCAGGTTATAACTGGTGTTAAGAGAAGTCTACCCACAACCCCCACAACAACAGGGGGGGTTACAGATGGTGGTGGGGGAGGGAACCATCAGTACAACCACAATCACCACAATCACCACCATCAGTATGGAGATCCACCACCAGCCAAGATGTCACGAACGCTGCCACCACCACTACTGCCTGACAACACTGCTGGTGGTAAGTGTTGGCAGAGAGAGAGAGAGAGAGAGAGAGAGAGAGAGAGGGGTAACTTATATACATCATAGTAAAGTATCAACATTTGTCTGTCAACAGGAGGTGAGGTGTGCTCATGTCCGCCCTTCGAGTGTACGTGTGGGAAGGTGGGCGTGAGTATGGGCGTAGAAGCACTAATACCCCGCCCATCATTCCCCCACACGCCCCTGGATCCTTACTACGCCCACACACACCAGCAGGAGGATTTAGGACACCACCAGAGAGTCCTAGATGTGCACAGAGGTCCTGCGGATGGTGTGAGGGCGCCGCAACTCTACCGCAGCCCAGCACCGCCTGCGGGAGCCTTCCACCCACCGACAGTCAATTGGACACCGCCAGCGTCTCTCATAGGGGACTGGACCATGGGATCTATAGGCCCCCGTAATGAAACCATGGGCGGGGAGGTATGGATCACGCCCACACTAGACACAGGTGTATGGTGTGACCCCCCACTACCCCACAACAACCCTCCTCCACCCCCACACCACCCATACACCCACAATTACACCTGCGATGTTAAGTTAGATATCCAAGGTGATCCTGATAGCATATTCCCCTTCGAGGAGTCCTTTCAACCACAGGATATCTTTGCCTTGGAACAACCCTACAGGAAGAAAGGAGACATCCCTCCTAATATCCCTGAAGCTACGGCCCAGAAGTTCCTACAATGTATTGATGACATTATTGGTGATTGTTTTCTAGACGATCCTCTACAACAACAGCAACAGCAACAACAACAGCAGCGATCACCTTCAACGTTATTAGATCTAGGGAGCGGGGCGTTAACACACCATCACACATATTCTACCCAACATACTCCTACCTTACCACATACCCCTACCTTACCACATACGCCCACATACTCCACATCTAACCCGCCCACGTCCGCAACACCAAACCCGCCCACGACTGGTATGGGGACTTCAATGTCTCTTCCACTGCAAGAACCTTCGTCTCTACAACACGACGATGCTGGGAGGTCTCCAACGGGGGAGGCCATACCCCAGGAGACCATGGAGGCCAGTAGGGAGGCCGCTATGACCTCCAATAGGTTTGTGTTCTCCTCGCCCGACCCTGATTACAACAATTACGCCAATGAAACGAGGAGTTACGCCGCCCATGACGCCTCCACCAATGGCAGCCTTCCTAGCTATGACGTCACGGTGTATACGTCATCATTCTGCGTATCTCCCAGCCAATCACAGACGTTCACAGCGCGGGAGGGGAAGAGTGACAATCCGTTCACAGCATTTGAGGCTTCGTCGCCCCTCAGCTGAACGACTTAACAGCATCACAGCATCACAGCATTACAGCTAAATGATTATTATCTGTGCCTCTGTTTCCGTTTGGACCTGTTTCACGCTGTTTTAGGCCCAATTTAAGGCTGTTTCAGATTGTTTCAGCCCCATTTTGAGTCGTTCCATACACTGATGTTTTTTCTCGTTCAATATGAAACAGCTTCACGTTTCAGTCAGTAATGAAACACCAAGTTACACTATTTCAAACTCTTTAAAACTGACCAAACACAGAGTTCCACATTATTGAAACTCTGAAACAATTTATGAGACAGTTTCAGGTTTAAAAATAATTCCATACTAATTGAAACTGAGTCAGTGAAACAGTAGAAGATAATAAACTGCTTCAGAAAGTTTCAAAACTGTTTCATTGAGCTGAAACACCGATCATGAATGTACAGTTAAGTTTTACTGATCTGAAACTTTGGTGTAAAGAAACTGATTCATATCGCGTCCAAAAATAGTTTCTGAATCGTCCAGTGAATCCATGATGTTTCAAAAGTCTCTAGAAAGTTTCAGAGTTCGAAATAATTGAAAATGAAACACCAATTCGATACTCCAGTGAGTGAAACTACGGAGAACTCTATACTGGATTAACTGCTTCGAATCCACAGTGTTTCGAACTATTTCCAAGTGTTCAAGTGAGTGGAACTAAACCAGTATTGATACAGTGTTCAGTGAGCCAATGAACCAGTGAACAGAACCAGTATCAAGGTTCTTAATTTATGGCAACGAAACGGATTCAGCATTTAAAATGGTTCACGAGACAAAGAATGAACCCTTGAAGATATTTATGTATTCCGGAGCATTATTTGACACCTAGAGAGATTAGCTTAAGTTATTTAAGTGTGTTAATGAAGCCAGGGTTCATTTTAAACGAGGGTTCATAAACTACAAAACAATGAACCCTTGAAATGAATCCTTGATAGATTTATATATGTTTCGAAGCAGTATTTGAAGCTCGACTTGTACTGATTAGGTTAAGATGTTTGACAGTGTGTTGTTTGAGATGAGTCGAGGCTTCATTTGACTCGAGGCTTTATTTGACTCGAAGCTTCATTTGACTCGAAGCTTCATTTGACTCGAAGCTTCATTTGACTCGAAGCTTCATTTGACTCGAAGCTTCATTTGAGTCGAAGCTTCATTTGACTCGAGGCTTCATTTGAGTCGAAGCTTCATTTGACTCGAAGCTTCATTTGAGTCGAGGCTTCAATATAGAGTCAAGACAAATTTGTATAATATAACAAATTCTTCCTCCCCAAGTTATTAAGTTAATTTATTAAGAATTTACCAACTTAATGTCCCAAATTATGACAAAATCAATCAAATACGAAACAGTAATTGGGATAATTAATTCTTGGTAATTATATGATAATTAATTACAAATAAACATATAATTAAAAACTTAAATGTGGTTGGTTACTACGCTAATTAATCCTGCCATTGAGATTTATTTTTTGATGAGATTTCTTAATGACGGGTCGATTAATTAAGGTCAAATCAACCATAATTAGATTTTAATGATATGGATAATTAAGGATAACCTGAAGATTAGGCACCCTAGATAATTTCACAGGTTAATTATATAACCTACTTCTAACCTAACCCTAACCAAACCTAACCTAATGCTAACCAAACCTCACATTTAAAGTAAGGTTAGAATAGGTTAGATTAGGTTACACTTTGGTTAGGTTAGGTTAGCAATAGAGCATTCAATCACCAGGTAGAATAAACTAGGGTATCTAACCTTCAGGTAATCCCCTAATTAACCCCCCCCCTCCCTCCCACAAACTATACAAAATGTTGGAACGACCTCATACCGTGTCTGAGACTGGTTCAGTACGAGGGGGTTGTTCTAGAAGGATCTCTATGTACCATACAAATAGTTTATAACAAATTTAATAGGACTTTTCCTTTGTTTATGTGAGTGTGTGTGTGTGTGTGTGTCGTGAGCTTACAACACAACAACAACAACATCTTGATTTAAATTGATTTGTGATCGGTTTTAATACGTTGTTAAATTAATGGTAGGTGTTAAAATTGTTTAAAATATTTCAGGGTTATATTATTTTCTGGTTAAGTTTGTGGTATGTATCTAACTGGTTAAATTATGTTAAAATTATGGATATTATATGTTAAATTATACTGAGACTCTACCTTAACTAGATACCTTCACTTAACACTAAGACTCCACCTTAACTAGATACCTTCACTTAACACTGAGACTCTACCTTAACTAGATACCTTCACTTAACACTGAGACTCTACCTTAACTAGATACCTTCACTTAACACTAAGACTCTACCTTAACTAGATACCTTCACTTAACACTGAGACTCTACCATAACTAGATACCTTCACTTAACACTGAGACTCTACCTTAACTAGATACCTTCACTTAACACTGAGACTCTACCTTAACTATATACCTTCACTTAACACTGAGACTCTACCATAACTAGATACCTTCACTTAACACTGAGACTCTACCATAACTAGATACCTTCACTTAACACTGAGACTCTACCTTAACTAGACACCTTCACTTAACACTGAGACTCCACCTTAACTAGATACCTTCACTTAACACTGAGACTCTACCTTAACTAGATACCTTCACTTAACACTGAGACTCTACCTTAACTAGATACCTTCACTTAACACTGAGACTCTACCTTAACTAGACTTCACTTTCACACTGAGACTCTGAGACTAGATACCTTCACTTAACACTGAGACACCTGCCTTTACTAGATACCTTCACACTGAGACTCTACCTTAACTAGATACCTTCACTTAACACTGAGACTTAACACTACCTTAACTAGATACCTTCACTAACACTGAGACTTACCTTAACTAGATACCTTCACTTAACACTGAGACTCTACCTTAACTAGATACCTTCACTTAACACTGAGACTCTACCTTAACTAGATACCTTCACTTAACACTGAGACCTTAACTAGATACCTTCACTTACACTGAGACTCTACCTTAACTAGATACCTTCACTTAACACTGAGACTCTACCTTAACTAGATACCTTCACTTAACACTGAGACTCTACCTTAACTAGATACCTTCACTTAACACTGAGACTCTACCTTAACTAGATACCTTCACTTAACACTGAGACTCTACCTTAACTAGATACCTTCACTTAACACTGAGACTCTACCTTAACTAGATACCTTCACTTAACACTGAGACTCTACCTTAACTAGATACCTTCACTTAACACTGAGACTCTACCTTAACTAGATACCTTCACTTAACACTGAGACTCTACCTTAACTAGATACCTTCACTTAACACTGAGACTCTACCTTAACTAGATACCTTCACTTAACACTGAGACTCTACCTTAACTAGATACCTTCACTTAACACTGAGACTCTACCTTAACTAGATACCTTTCACTTAACACTGAGACTCTACCTTAACTAGATACCTTCACTTAACACTGAGACTCTACTCCTTAACTAGATACCTTCACTTAACACTGAGACTCTACCTTAACTAGATACCTTCACTTAACACTAAGACTCTACCTTAACTAGATACCTTCACTTAACACTGAGACTCTACCTTAACTAGATACCTTCACTTAACACTAAGACTCTACCTTAACTAGATACCTTCACTTAACACTGAGACTCTACCTTAACTAGATACCTTCACTTAACACTAAGACTCTACCTTAACTAGATACCTTCACTTAACACTGAGACTCTACCTTAACTAGATACCTTCACTTAACACTGAGACTCTACCTTAACTAGATACCTTAACACCAGGTAAGTGAAGGTATCTAGTTAAGGTAGAGTCTCAGCATAATTCTGGAACCATTCTATCATAACTTACATTTTCCTTAACATATACCAACACGTTATATATATTACCACAAATTATGTTAAAATAATGTTAATATGACTAAAATATTTATGTGGCTTTATTATTTTAGACGAATTATAGACACTGAAGTAAAAATGAGTTGTTGTGTTCTAAGCTCAAGACACTAATGTGGTTTGGTATTAGTAAGGGATTATATGAAGATTAGACTCCCCAGATTATATTACCTGATGATTAAACACCTAAACCTAACCTAACCAAAACCTAACCTAACCAAAACCTTACCTAACCTAACCTAACCAAAACCTAACCTAACCTAACCTAACCAAAACCTAACCTAACCAAAACCTAACCTAACCCACTCCAAACCACACACAGGTAACACACAAAAAATGGGGGGGGTGTCTAATCCTCAGGTGAGCCATTACGTCTTCTATAACACCTGCTCATGACGGTAATTAAACCATATTACAAGAGTATTATTAATCACCTCTAATTATGCTAGTCAATTACTTTCGGTCGATTATATTAGTCTTCTCTCTCTCTCTTATTTAACTAGTCATAAAAAAAATATAATTTGATTGTAATTAATGTGGATTATGCCTTTCGTGGTCGAGACAGTTGATTGGACACAGGTATGGAGAGGGAGTTACCTTTCTGTACACCAACTTAATTACACACAGGTAAAATAATTAATTACATTTATACAGGTGAGGTTAATTAATTAGTTCTCTACAGGTGGGAGTTACCTTTCTGTACACCAACTTAATTACACACAGGTAAAATAATTAATTACATTTCTACAGGTACACGGGCTAGTAATTACATTTCTACAGGTACACGGGCTAGTAATTACATTTCTACAGGTACACGGGCTAGTAATTACATTTCTACAGGTACACGGGCTAGTAATTACATTTCTACAGGTACACGGGCTAGTAATTAATTTCTACAGGTACACAACACAAGGCAGTACAAGTTAGTTTATACCCCATTGAGGTCCACCATCTTATGTTAAATAAATGGGTCATATATTTTAGCAAATTTCAACATTATTAACTAAGTGTCTTATGTTGCTGGGGTTTAATTTATGTTAAAATTAACCTGAATGTTAAAATGATCTTGATGTTATATTTTTGAGTGACATTATATGTTAAATTTTGATAAGTGTTAAAATTATCACTTTACAGTTAACATCAATTAAGTTGATTTATTATGTTAAAGTACAACTGATGTTACTTGACAAGTTGAAGTTAATTTCATGTTAAAGTTCCACTATATTTATCATCAAATATGTTAAATTACGAACTGTTACAAAACCATATTTGTTAATGTTAGATTCTCACTCTTTTTAACATGAAGTTATAATTACATACATGTTAAATTACCATATATGTTAATTACCTTATATGTTAAACTATCAATAATGTTAAAATTACCAAGAACGTTAATTACAAATATGTTAAATTACTCCCTGATGTTAAATTCCCCAAGTGTTAACAAAAATCCCAAGATGTCAAAAAAATCCCAAGATGTCAAAAAAATCCCAAGATGCCAAAAAAATCCCAAGATGTCAAAAAAATCCCAAGATGTCAAAAAAATTACCAAGATGTTAAATTCTAGTGATTTTGTATATCATTTCGAGTTATTACTTTAATATACAATTTAACACAATCAAGCCTGACTTTTAATGATGTTAATATATATTTTTATTTAATATTTGTAAAACTTATAAAGACACAACTAGTCTGGTGTAATTCTTAGACCAAACGCTTGAGTGTTACTTGTTCAAGGTATACCTGCTCGAGTATTACCTTCTTCAAGAGCTACTGCTTGAGTACAACTTAACACTTGAGTACCAACTAAGACTCAATACACCCTATAATCTACCACTTGAGTATGACCTTATCACTTGAGTACGACCTAACACTTGAGGACCAGCCAAACACTCAAGTCCGACCTTACCACTCGTCCACCGTCCATTTGTGTTGGCCCAATGTTTGAGAAATACCACGAACGAGGTATTGTAGGGCAAAGGTGACCCTAACTTGACCTGACCTGACCTAAACTTAATCTATCCTAACTTAACCTGACCTAGTATGACCTAATCCTAAGTTAACCCGACCTAACCTTAACCTAACTAGACCTGATCTAACATGGTCCCGTCCGTGGTACTCTCATCAAACACACCCCCCTCCCCCCACCCTTGACTCTCCCCCGCCGTAAGGTCTTCCATCAGTGGGTCAGTACGGAAAGTCATTGGAATGTAAATATTTTTAAAAAGTCTTCAGATAAACCAGTTAAAATATCAGAATTTTGGAATATTAATAATTTTACATTTTTTTTCAGTAATTTAATTCAATAGAGCTATTAAATATATATTAATATCTGATGAATTTTAATTATAATGTTTTTTTTTTTTTCTTATAAATATGAAATTTTTAAAATGTTGCAATACTCCGTGACGACAGAACATAACTCAATACAATACCAAAGTCAATAACATTCTGTAGAGCTAAAACATAAGACTACTTTATTTTTAGGGGTCAATAGGGGTCAATAGGGGTCATTAGAGGTCAATAGGGGTCATTTTCTCGGGAGGTGAAAAATTGTGACGAGAAAGACTTTTAAAAAAACCTTTGTATTCTTACTATGACATTTGTCCCTCATTTGTTTGTGAAATATTAATAAATATAAGAATTTTAATGTATTTATTTTATTTACCCGATGATGATGATATAATGATAATGATTTAAAGTCATTATTAATTGTTTTTGACACATATATAAAAAAAAAAATTCTGACTGGGTATTTTAGCAACAAATGGGCTGTGGTCTCCAACCCTCAGACCCCCCCAAAAACAAGATGGCGGAGGTATAAGAGAAACAAAACAATCATATAATAATCATTTATTTTACTTCAGTTCTTTATGGAAAACCGTAATGAAAATTCTTAATAATACACTGTTTTTTGTATTCATAATCCGTCTGTATTCATGGTCAAGTATCCATACACTGTCTGTATTCATAGTCCTGGTATACATAGTGGTGTACACATAGTCCTGGTATACATAGTAGTGTACACATAGTCCTGTATGCCTCACACGGAACGCAAGAACAAAAAACCTCAAACGTCCAAAAAAAAAAAAATATTGCAAATTGACTCCAGAAGATGGGGGGGAGGAGGGGAAGGGGGGAGGAGGGGAAGCGGGAAGCCAGCAATAGGTGAGCCTTAGACGGAAGACAACACGCAAGAAGGATGATAAATTAACCATCGTCAACCACTTCATTCACACCTCCTCCAGAGTGGATGACCCTACGTTAACGAGGGGGTGCTGAGTCATTGCCTCCTCCCCCCACCCCACCCATCGACCTCAACTAT